CCGAGAACGTCAGTGAGACTTGAAAAACAAAGGTAACAGTAGCCGTGGGCAGGGATGCTGTCGCATAGTTGGCAAACTGCGCGGCGGCTGCCGTAGAGCTGGAGGTTGGATGTTGTTGTAGTTAGCCCATGTGGTGTGAGAGGCTGTCGCGGGACCGTGAACGTTCCCTAGTGTGAGTGGTAGTGTTGGTGTGGGTTGCCGGGGTGGTTTGTGGTGGTGGGCCTGTCCAGTATGAGTGCAGGCGGGCTGCGTCTTGTGGTGGGGTACGTGGTGAAGGAGAGGGGGAACGGCTGGAAAGCCCGGGTGGTAGTGGAAAACCTGGCGGTATGTTGTGGATAATAGCCAGCTTTCTGCTGGAGAGTGTGGCTGTGGGGTTGATGCGGTATTGTCCTGGGAGCCCGGGGCCGGTGGTAACAAATTGAAGGAGTCGACGAGCCTGGGAGAGGTCATCGATCAGGCGGTCCAGCAAGATCAGGTCGCCGCGCAGTCGGTAAATGCTCTCTGGCCTTGAAAATAAGTCTGGCTTGGCATAGGTTCAGTGTGGAATGGGTGACGGCGGAGGTGTTGGTTGACCATAAAGAGGAGGTCCAAAGAGCCGTTGAGGGATTGAAAATCTGGTTGGGTGCAAATCGAAGGTTGGAGCCAGCTCGGAGGGCACTGTGGGAGGTAGTGTTCTGTATCAGCGGGGTTGCTATGAGGGCGAGCGCGAGGATTGGCCATGACAATTGATGGACTGAGATGGCGTACAAAAGGCTGCGGAGCTGAGGTGAGCCTGAAAACTGACAAATCGAAGTTGGGCAACTTGGTGAACATAGACTGGGTATGAAGAACTAAATGTCAGTGCATGTCAGTGGATTTGTCGTGCGGCACGCCGTAAAGAAGGTGGGTGAAACGGGTCAAATGAAATAACTGCAAACTGGCGTGAGTGGAGATTTCTCCGGATGACTGTCCTCACTAAGCGCTCGCTCAGCAGCCGGCGGCAGCAGCACAGCAGCAGGAGTCGTTGGATATTGTGAAGTCGGTGGCGTTGTTGTGGGGGAAGGGGAGAAATCCGGTTGTGAATGTGGTGCTGGGGAAACTGCTGGTGATGTGGGTGTTGGTGAGGGGGAAGGTGCTTGTCTTGGTGGTGCGGTTGGTAGTGGTGTGGAGAAGAGTTGCTGGTCCTGCTGACGTTGCATGTCTTTGAGTTCTTGCCATCGGGCTTGGCATTGCTCAACGGAGAAGCCCACTCGGCGGGCCACGGTGGTCGAGTTGGGGCGAAGTTTGGGGTTTTCTTTGAGTTCGACCAGGCGACAGTCAGCTTCGCCGTCCCAGGCATCCCAATCCGCCTGTCGGTTCAAAGGTGGTGGGGGTGGTTGCTTCCGCTTGCGTGTTGTGGTGGGTTGTGGATCTGGGGGTGTTGTTGGAGTGTCGTCTGAGTCTTGTAAGGGTGGTGCTGGTAAACGGATGGGTGGTCTGGATGGTGCTGAGTCACAAGATGAGGTGGTGGATGGTAAACGTATAGGGTGGTTGGGCGGAGTTGGAAGCGGCTGAAAGTGTTGGCGGAAAGTGGGTCCGCTTGGTGGCTGTGGTGGAGGAAAACCGTGTGGAGGTGTGCTACAATATCTGTTGCTTGTCGAAGCAGGTTGTGCACTTGCGAAAGTGCCACTGCGGTTTTGTGTATGAGAGTTGAGGTGTCGTTTTGTAGAGGTGTCGGTGCGCTGCTCATGAGTCTGAGATGTAGGGGTGTGCAGTGGTCAAGAATCGTCACAGGTTGCTGCGGCAGCGCGCCAAAGCAGCCGGACAGCGGCGAGTCTGAGGGAGCGCGTCATCCCGAGGCCGTGCATATGAATTAAGCGAGCATCAAATTCCCCCAGGCAAAAGTGCGAATATGCAATGCCGGTTGGACAATTAAGTACATGACTTAATGAATCACTCTCCACGATGCAGAAACTGACATGTGAAAGACTCCAGCAAAACAGCCGGTACAATTCGAAAAAGGTGTTCTCAGTAAACAGTGCAGAGCTAGAAAAATTGAGGGTTCAAAATTCGCGTGGCCGCTGCAGGAGGCTCTTTTTTGCTGCTACAGCAAAGGTTGGGTGGTGGTGTGAGACCAAAAGTGGATGTGGAGGTGGTAGTGGTGTGTAGATGTGTGGTAGTGGTGTTATGGGTCCGGTGGAGTGGAGTTGGTGGACCAGGCCAGTCCTTTGACAATGGCGTGGTCCGGGTGGATCACCCAGCAGCGGCCCTTCTGATGAAAGACTGCACCATGGTGGTCGTTAAGGAGGTTCATGGCGTGTTCCTCACCTCCAGAGGTATATTTTGTGGCAGCACCCCAAGCAAGGAGTGTGATGATAAGGGAATGGGAATTCTTGTGGAGTTGCCAGGTGTTGTGGATGATGCGGGCGAGTTCGTTGTGGTCATGAGGTTGGTTGTGGGTGATGCGAACGCCCTGGGCAAAAAATCCAGGGTAGTTGGCAAAGTGGAGTGTGCTGGGTAAAAAACGGCCTTGGCGTAGAATGTTGGAAATGTTGCCGACGGGGCCTGTGTGGCCTGCGTTGATGTGGGCGACCTCCCGGTGGGTTGATGTGGCGCGGGAAACCGCAGGTGGCTCTGGTGTAGTGGCTTTGGTGTTGAGGAAGGGAAGTGAAATGGCGTAGTACTGGAATTGGTCGTATTGGTGAGTTGTGTCATTCCACTTAGCGTGGGTATATTGTCGGAAATCGGTGATCTCCTTGTAGGTGATGTTGCAGTCTGTGAGGATATTGGCAATGTACTGGTGTTGTGGTCGGTTGGGATTGTCGAGTTGGGTGGCGTGGAATTCGAGCCATTCCAGGATTTGGTCTGCAGGTGTAAAGGTGTGAAAGTTGGGTGGAGGTCGCCAACGGTTGATTGGGCGACGGAGGACGGCTGTGGTGGGATATTGAGAGGGGTCCGGGTTGGTGTGTTCGGTGTTGGGGCGTAGATCAATGGGTTGTGGTGGCGAACGACTGCGGGATGGCGTAAGGCTGGATGTGTAGGTGGATGTTGAGGGCGACCGCCGTCGCCGGGTTGTGCTGTGATGTTTGGAGTGGCGGTGATGGCGATGTCGGCGGCGGTGGCGGTGGCGTCCTCTGTGGTGATGGTCGGACTTGCGTCGGCTCTTGTGGCGGTGACGGCGACTGCTGTGTGGTGGTGGCGGGGAAGGTGGTTGCGGTGCTGGTGAGGCAGTGGTGTCAAGTTGGTCTGGTGCTGGTAGTGAAGGTCCAGGCACTGGTGTGGCAGATACCAGCGATGGGGATGCTGAATGTTGGGATAAGGTAGCTGGTGGAGGCGTGTTTTGGACTGGTAATGGATTGTCCTGGGCAGTCGTGGGGATGGGTTGGATCGGCGGTGTTGGATCCGATGGTGGCTGCTGTTGGGGTGGAGGTTGGGTTGGTGTTGAGGCGTTGATGGTTTGTGGAGGCGGTGGCGGGGGCAACGGTTGGAGTGGAGGCTGTGTGACGGGGGGAAAGGCTGAATAGGGTTGCCAAACGCCCTGGGGGATGGCGCATTGGGGGTCCGTGGATGGATAATTGGCTATGGCAGGCTGTTGCTGTGTTGGAGGGGGATGTGTCAATGTAGTGGGGGGGGGAAGTTCCGCCGGTGGTGTGGGATGATGTGGTGGCAACAAGTAGGACGGGGGAGGTGCTGCTGTCGGAAACACTGGAGTTGGATGTGTGGGTTGCGGTGGCACGTGACATGGCTGGACAAAAGTCCAAGTGGATGGTGCGCCGTAGGTCAGTAGGGTTGGACAAGAACGGTGGTGGTTGAAATGGTTGTGGTTGTGGGTGAGGGTATGCCGATGGTTGTGTCGAGGGAAAGGTGGGTGCAGTTGATGGTTGTGGGATCGGCCATGTGGGTTGAGGTTGTGTGGTAGGTAATGGTGGTGGCGTGGTGTGAGCGTAGGGCCACGGAAAATGCATGTCGTGGTCGTAGCTATGGCGCGGCGCGGCGCGGCAGCAAAAAGCAGCGGAGAAGTGCCGAGTTGTATTGTCTTGTTGTTGCTGAAGGTGTCATCTCTGGTGTCAGTGGTGAGTATGTTGTAAGGTGGTGCTAAATGTGAGCTTGTTGGTAGGTGTGTGTTCATGCATCTCGAATTAAGCTGAAGAGCTGTAATGCCCATCCTTGAGTTCTGTCGATGAAAGAATCGCGGCAGCAACATAGCGAACATAGAAACACGCACATGATTGGAGGACATGAAAAGAAAACTGAATGCTGAAATCTGAGATCTGAATTTTGAAATCTTCAAGAACCGTTTTTTGGCCCGGCGGCCGGTGTGGCGGTTGATTCTGTGAGGGTGTCGGTGCCTTCCTGTGAGATTCCAGTGAGCGGTGGTGCGTTGGGGTGGTTGCTTTCCCGTGCAAGGTCGGCGCCCCTGTGACGGGGATCACACTCAGCACCCGAGTGGGACGGCTGAGCAGGACACACTTCGAACTTGGGTTTTCAGTTAACGCAGTTGTCTCGGTGAGAAGGAAGGTGATGGAACAGCAAGGCGAAAAGTCCGACAACTTGGAAGTGTTTTAACATCGATTGTTTCGCTTGACTCGGCTGCATATCGGCTCAACTGCAGCGCTGCTGGGGAGGAAATGGTTTAGGGGGAGGAACATGAACGACCATGGCATCAAAACACAGCAAGGAAGAGTGGAGTGGTATCACGGCGCAGGTACGTTTTCCTGATCGTCCAGTGTGGAGCTTCGTTGGCAGAGGCCACGACTGGAGATCCCTCTGCCCCCTGCGTGTGGAAAGTGGTGGAAAAATGGTGAAAAGAGTGGCGGTGGAAAACCCTTTGTCCAGGGTGGGACACACACACACACACACCACATTTCCCAAGTGAACTCAGCAAATTGGGATTTTTCGAGAGCAAACCTGACGCATGGGTCAAGTCAAGCATACTGGATCACTGGATCGTGCAAAAGATGTGAAAAAATGTGGATCCCTCCATCATAGATGTTCTTCGGGACGGTTGATGGTCGCCGCAGAACGCGGCGACTCCATGGCGCCTGCGACAGGAGCTTCTCCAAGCGACTGCGCCGCAAATCCGGAGCGGAGCCGCTGGGGAGCACGGCTGAGACCTCAAGCACAGAAATGTCCTAGTAGCTTCTTGTTACTCTTAGTAAGGCCAGGAGCTACTAGTAGCGTCCTTGCTCCTAGTAGAAATGCCCTTTGTTCCTAGTAGCTTCTTGTTACTCATATGTTGTTGGTATTTTTTTTCGACATGATGCGATGGTTATCGTGTAAAGATTGGTGTCAGAAATCTCTGAACTGGTCATGCTGTGGGGCTAAATTCACTTCACTAGATTCACTTGTGCCAACTAACTACCGGACAGTTCGTCTCAGTCGCTGTAGGTGACAACAGTGAGGCAAGGTGCAAGCGCTCTGTGCGAGCGCGACACTGCGACGCTTCAAAGCATTGAATGCACACGGTGTCGTGTTTGAGAGACAAATGAGTAGTCACAACTCTGAGACCAAGAATACAGCCCGTTCTTCTCTTTAATTCAGCCCGTGGCCCTGCCTCCTTACTTAATTAAGTAGGCGCTTGCTTAATTAAGTAAGGGAGCAATAGGAAGCTCCTGGCTAGGACGCAGGATAGCTCACGCTTCTTCAAGGAAGCTCCCCCCGGCTGAGGGCGCAGAGCTTCCTTGAAGAAGCACCCGCACTAATGATTTGGTCCTAGATTTTTTGGGAACTTGACTTAAGCGGGGAGAAAACAATATGTTCAGTAGAGTCATCAGAGTCTTTTCTTGGAGCTAAGTTGCAGCTCCAAAGAGGCCACAACCAACTATCCAAGCTTTGAATAATATCCTGAAGTACTCTGATATCAGTAGATGTATGTAGATGCTAATTTTTCATAGCTTCATACAGCTACCAGTACTTTCTCAAAGATCAGGGTGGATCCTGGTGTCCAGCAATCGCCGGGGCTGAGGAAATATGGTTATATAATAGCTATATACGTTAAACGGCCGTCCTGGTCATCCGTGCTTCAGTGATTTGCTTGGAATAGATTACTTGGTCATCCCTTGCTGTCAAAAGAGCTGTTCAGTGAAGCGATTAAACTGACCCGAAACAGCGAGCAGCTGGGGAGGCTGCTTTTTGCGCCATGCAGCATGGAGTAGCTCTGCCAGGTTGATATAGATAGGTTGACAGCTGAGTTGCTCTGCTCAAGTAGCAAATGACAGGTCTTTGGACACATGATAGAGTCCCAGTTGACTTCAAGTGAAGTGTTTGTATTAGTTTCAAAGCGAGTTCTTTGCATCTTGCTGTTTAGATTGTTGCTTGAACCTGAAGTAAAAGGTGCTTGGAAATCTGTCCTATGAAATAAACCAACCTAATTCTTTAAGTATGTGTTACAAGTGCTCGACTGCTTGAGATATGTTCCAAGGTCCCAACACAAAGGTCACATCTAAAAATCTATCCCACGATCGTTTCAATCTTCAAGTATATTAGCATAAAAGCACTCCCTATCAAAATACACACCCCATATATACTGTATCTCCAATCCACTCATGGAGGCCATACTTGACGCAGCTCGGGATGGCGGCACTGGTTCAGCTCCCCCTCTGGCGGGAGCCATCGCTGTGCTGCATCCGTGGCGAGTTCGATGTAAGCCTTAAACCTCGCAGAGCCAAACATGGGAGGCGAGCACCGAACAGCAGCGACTGGCCCCAAGGGGATCAGCACTCGGAGCGGGGCAACACTCTTGTCCGCCTCTGGTGAGTGCTGGGGCAGCTGCTTTTGCATTGCTTTCTTGTCACCCGTCAAAGTAGGATGATCCTTGATGCCACTGAGAAAAAGCTTCCAAAAAGTGAAAGCTGTAGGTGGTCAGTAAAGCCAATTAACCCAGCAAACAACCCCAATCGTGATCATCACCCAATCCATGCTCATCAAGGAAAAGTAATCTTCCAAAATTGATCGATATATAATAATCTATTCGGACATTCAATACAAGAACGTTGTTTTAGTAAATTTTAGTATGATTTTATTTGCTTTGGGTATGGTTGCTATTGGCTTGGAGACCATCGCTAGTAGGTTGGAGGCCATCGCTAGTATGGATCCAAGGTCGGAACACTCTTCTCCAAAACAATCTGCATGGGCTTGCCCGAAGCTTCTGCCTGAGAAGACGACGAGGACATGGTTCCCAATCTCTTGAGGTTTCCCTGTTTTCTGCATGGAAAATCCGCTGCAGAATGACCTGGGCTCTGCCCAACTCACTCGAGTTCGTCAAGGCGAACTAGCGGCCCATATGACTCTGTTCATACAACAAAAACCGGATGATTCTGTTTAAACTTTAGATGGACTGTGACTACTACACTGGTGTAAGACACCACAAATGGTCATCCCCCCTTTTGGGGGAATACTAGTAACAAGGAATAACAAGGGCATCGCTACTAGTAGCAAGGAATACTAGTAGTAGCCATGCCCTGGTTACTAGTAGCGATGCCCCGCTGGCCAAACAACAAAAGCGATTGGACGATGATTCGGCCTCCAGGGCGCCATCCTCACGAGCGGATTCTTTCAGTTCAGGGGAGAGCTCCTGGGACGCGGTTCCGTCGGCGAAAAAACAGGTCCTTGGAGAAAGACACCCTGGCCATACACGTTTTGACATTGGAAGTTCCAATGAAGGAAGAGCTAGTTACAAACTCCTCATTTGGAGGACTATTGAGTACACACCTGCTTTGGAAGGAATTGGGCAAGGTCAAAGTCAAAAGGTGTGTCCTGGCAGCTCTTGAAAGGAAGCATCGAATCTATGGTGAGTGTGTCGAAACCAATCGAAATTCGTTTCAGATCCTAAATCCACGCTTTGTTTCAGTGGTTCTCGGCAGTGTCAGCCCTACTTCCTTGAAATCACGGCGTGCGTAGCCAACGCCCTCCACCACCTTTGTAGCCTCCTTTGCCTAGCACAACATGTTGTGTTGCTTGAAGCGACCAACCGGACCATGGCCAACCCTTCTATCAAAAGTCAGTTTTCAGGCTCCTTATATAATTAGATAGTTTGCTAATCCTGCACCAAAAGCAATCTTCTCGTAACTCTATGAGTCTATGACACAAGATGTTTCATGACTGCTTCCAAAAGGTCACATGGGTCACGTAGATAATTTCAATACACGGATGTTGTCACCCTGGCCCTTTTGTTTGGCTGGCTTGGAATATTGCTGATCCACGAATCACTCTCACCAGCTGACCCTCGCAGCAAGGCCGTAGGAGGTGAGCTCTTTCACGTAAGCCTCGCAGTAAGCAGCGCCATGTGAATAGAGAAAAGTTGAGACATGTATGAGAATGTAGGCATCTGCCTGATCACAAAATTGACATCGGTGACACGTTCGGTTTTTTGAGATGAGGTCACACGTTCATGTTCAGATTAACAGTCTTGCCTGCCTTGACCACGTACAAGGGAGCTGAGAAAATCTCAGCTGTGCCCTTCTCACAAGCCTCTGCGGAAACAAAGTATGGACACACCGAACACACCATCAATACATCTGACGCAAAGGCTCAAGTCTCACAACGGACTCAAGGTGGCCCTTGCAGCTATGGAGTGTACTAAGATTACTAAGCCCGCCAACCGCCAATTCGATCCCCTGAAAGAATCATGAATGTTTGGACAACCTGTTGGTATTCGGAATATGGTCATCCTCTGGCCATGTTCCATCATTCTTTCAGGGAGTGTATACTTTGAATTGTACGCCGGTGAGCCGAGGAGCCTCCAAGGAGGGGACCAAACAAGGGGACCTCTCCACATCCACGTTCCCCACTCATCGAGCGACTGGCCTCGTCAAAGCCGATGCGCACGGCATCTGCAGCGCGGCAGACATGTTCCACGCAAAGAAAAAGCCACACAAAGACTGAAATGTCCAGAATTCCTGCTGCCCACTGCCCTGTGTTCCCTTGTTCGACGTGACTGGAAGTCAGAAATGGTGGCCTAGATCTACTGTCCATTCGCCAGCATCAGCAACAATGCCAACGAAGACATCCTGGCAAAATCTCTCACACTGCAAAGCCGAAGCTTGCACGATCGAATTCTTCTCAAGGCAAAATCTCTGTCCTTGTCCTTCCAAACATAGTGATCCTCGGAGCGTCACACGGAAGTCATGTCCCTCATTCATGTGAGGGTACTGACTTCACTCATCGCTCATCGCTTTCTCTCTGCATAACAGGGATAGGTGCGGCAGTGTGTGACGTGGCATCTATGCAGTTCAATGGATGTATGATGCATCCATATGCATCTCAACATGTTCGCATCACGAGATGCTTGCCGAGACTCTGTGCAACCAACTTCGAGGGTCCAAAGCTTTTCTGCCTGAAGATCTAGACAAATTGTTGGGCCAACTCTCTCGCTGGTGTTCCAGCTGTGTTTGCTGGCTTATGGCAGCAGGGTAGTGCTGTAACTGCTCTTAGGAGGCTTATGTCGCTTCGTTGCTGAACCGGTTTTGAGAACTTGCGTTGAATCGTTGCAAGACTGCTCACATGCAAGGAACAATGATGTGGTCTTAGGTAGATGGCAAACAGAAGCAAAGTTGTCACCTTTGACATCAGTTGTCACCTTTTGCTTCACATCTGTTTGGCAAAATGTCCGTTTGGGCCCAACCTGCTCTCCGCCACCTGCTTTCCGGCGCACGTCACGTTGGACACCTTCATGGCACAGCGTGCCGTCCATGGGGACAAGACTGAGAGCATTTGAAACTTGAAACAGTGCGGGGTTGCATCCTCGCATGCTAGTGGTTGCGTGGTTGCTGCAATCTGCCCAGTCCAGCAAAGTACATTGGTGCCCTATCTGATACTCAGCCATACAGGTGCCCGGCCTGAGAATGCAAAGCTCACCCAGCTGGCTAGGAATGCCTCAAGTTGATATACTGTTGCACCCAATGCGCGGAAAACTGCTGAGATCTGGTGTGTATAGGACCAGGACTTTAGGTTGCAAAGATCACTGTAGATCAGAGTTCCACAAAACTGGCTGTGATCTCCCATCCTCTTCAATGGTATCGTCGTATGTCCATCGAAGCAAAGTCACTAGTGCTCTAACGTCCGGAGGACACTTCCACGTTTGAAGCTTCACTCATTCCATGGCAGAAAGTAGCATTGTACATGCAACTTCAAGTTCTGCTGCAGTTTACTTCCAGGTGTCTCATCACATTCCTAGAGCATGGGAAGCACAATTGGAGAGTACCAGTGTCTGAGTGGAACCATCTTGCTCATGCTTCCATCACAGTGAAGCGTCCGATCGCTCCTAGTAGTACGGCCAGGAGCCCCTAGTCGCGTCCGATCGCTCCTAGTAGGACCCACAGGTAGCACTGAGTGCACAGCGCAAATCAAGGGCCGCAAGATCGGTGCCTCGCAAGATTGGTGAGTCAGCGACCGATGCTGCGACCGATCTCGCCTATGCTGCGACCGATGCGGATGCCTTACAACCGGTATGACCTGACATCTTGCCATCGTCTATGGAAAGTTACAGCTGCTGTTGCAAGCAAACTAGGATCCTGAGGCTTCGGTGTTCAGCTGATTCTTGTTAAATCGTGATTGATCACACTTCAATCCGCCTGCCCACGCCGCACCGAAAGCCGCATGGCGAAAGAGCTGACTTTACTCAATTCATGCGTGGGATTCGGGAAGTCGTCCAGGGTCAAGTGTTGCAATCTAATGCATAGCTGCAGGATCCAAGACTTTCACCCAGGAAGGAACCAAGTTCAAAACTGTGTTTCAGGAATGTGACCAAGCAGCTACAATAGCTGCTTAGAGCTTCATCATCCCACTTACCGTGTGATTTCACTGCTGCGAAGGTCACGTTGAAAGCCCAAGTAAGTTAGCCTTCGGAAATTCTCATCAATATTGTCCAGTGCCAGTGCTGACATACCAACAGGACTTTGCTCACGAGATTCCGGGGAAAAAAAGAAAACTATCTGTCGAGCCATGTGAAACCAGCATGTGAAGGTCGCATCTTTTTCTGCACTCGTTATGATCTCATTTTAGAAGCGCAGGGAGGTCCCAGGCCTCGCAGGCATCTTTCGACTAACATCGTCTTCACCGACAGCATCCTCATATTGTCCACAGAAAAATACCGCCTGCGTATTTCGGAGAAAACTGAAAACGGAGATGCCAATTAATGACTTGAAACGCCAATGACTTGAAACGTGAAGGCACGCTCTCTTCATGTGCTTCAATGGGAACGATCTTGTTCACAGGTTCTCAGCTTTTGATGGTTCTTCTATGCATCCATCCTCACAAGTACTCAGCTACCTCAGGAAAATCATTGGATAAAGAGACATGGCCTTCAGACCAGATTCCAGCTGCTCATTGGCCTTTTGCCTCTTCTTCGCAGCAGCTGTCAGGGCTGCAATGACCTTCGACGTGTTCAGTGGCTTTCGAGGATGCTTTTCAACTAAAGTGTGAAATGAAATGAATCGTCTAACACACGATCGTGCAACAGTTATGCGGTGGTGTTTACAAAGACATACAAGGTGTACACCAAAGCTCCTGACCTCATCTTCGCTGGGCTTCCCATCACACACCTGGTGTGGCATCTCTCAGGAGTGTGGTTGGAAAGCCGGGAAACACAGTTGAGCAGTGCACCTCGAAGTGTAGCTTTGGTCCTCCAGCGAAGCTATCGGCCTGATTGATCGAAGTCACGATTCAAAGGACCCTGCTGGCGGGACATCACAAACACCATCAAAGGCCCCAAGGCTAAAGTTGACTGCAGGAGGCAGAAGCTAGTAGTAACAAGTGCTAACAAGTGCCTTACTAGTAGTAACAACGGAGAAGGGGGGGTTTGTTCTCAAGTCATAGAGCATCCGGTCCGAACAAAGAAGCTCACAGCAGGCACTAAGCCCAGCCTCAAGTGGGAAGTCAATCAAAGAATCTTTTCTTGAGAACATGCTTAACGTGTTGTTCCAAACAAACCTTGTCACACACATTCCTGCGGAGAGCGCCTGCAGACGGTCCAAGAAGCTGGTACCATGGAAAGCCACGGCAGGCGTCAGCACTCCAGAGGCGGACAAGGCCTGTGGCGCAAGCTGAACAGACTCCTTTGATGTCTTGATTCGATTGTTCCTCCCAACAATAGACATAGAGTATCTAAGTCCTTCAACTTGGCTCAACTCACGTGAAACTTCCACGTGACTGAGCCATCCATGCTATGAGAATCAAGGCAGTTGAATCACAAAGACCGATGAACAGAACAGCTTTGCAGGCTTTGCCTCTTGCTCCTCCAGAAGCACCAAAGCCGCACAGGCACAGGTGACGGCAGTGACCTCTTTAGAATGACAACTGAAATACGAAAGGAATGCGATGGCCTCCACCCTAGTGCAAAACACAAGTGCATTGGCCTACTCCCGCCGACCAAATTGACCATCTCTGACCCAATCCAGAAACCAGAAATATCTCAGCGATGAACCGGTTCCCGGATCATCAGCTTTTCCATGACGATGACAACGATACTGCCTCTACCGGTGCTGCTTACACTACAGCGGCCAAATCTACGTAATGATTCATTTGCCCAGTCGCATGATCGCATTTGCAAAGCGGACGCTTTATATACTGTATATAAATGAATGTAAACATCCTGATGATTCATGAGTCAGTGCGGGACATCAATTGAAAATGCTGTTCAATGCTTGTTTGGTGTCATTTAGGCTCCGTTGTAAATTCACAGCATCTGTGCTGGGCGCAGCGTCGGGATTTGGACTGTGTCAATGAAACAAAGCACTACCATTAATATTAGTTACTATATATAGACTATATGACGCATGATTATACATTATGACTATGTTACTTTGATGATTTTTCCTGTGTTAGAATAATTTATGTAGCCATACGGGGCGGGCCACTAATGACAAAAATGAGGGGCCCATCGTAGGAACAATAGAATTACAGTAATATTATGGTAGGGTCAGGGTTACACGTGTATGCTGGAAATTTTCCTAGGGGTGTACACGTGGTGGAAAAATGTATACCCAATAATCTATATAATTTTTCCAGAAAATTATTCCGGAAGAGGGCTTACCCCCCACACTATGTGATGATTGGTCTTTGCATATACCATTGAACTAATGTTTACATCATATGTTTACAGTACATATTTCTGCAGAAGACAGCCACAAAAAAAAATATATATATATATATAGATACACACACACACGAATCCACACCCTTGCATATCGCCGCAGAAATGTATAGACATGTGTTTTTCACGTTGCTTTCTTTGTTTATAAGCCCACATGCATCAAGCACGATCAAGAATCCCTACGTGCACAGGAATTATTCCATTTTGGGGGGCTTCCACCCTTACAATTATTCTGACGGACTTGAAAATCTGAATGGAGCCTTGAATCATCCAAAAAGAATCCTACGCGGCCGCCACCCCCTACCTCAAACTCCTGGGTCAAAATTATTCCATTTATAGAATGTGTGCTATATATAACTCATGAACGAGTCGAGAGCTCAGAAGCCCCGCGACTGTGCTCCGATCCCAACTTTGATCCCAACCGATCCTTCCTCCCACAGCCTCGTAGCCCTCAGGCCCCGTGAAGTGCACGTAGCCCCAGTGGCCACTCTCTGCTTCGGCCACCACATAGGTCTCCGTGAAGCCAAACACGCGCGCCTCGACACCGACGGTCGTCGGAGGAACGGTGAGTCGGCACGTCCTGTAAAGGTTCTCAGTCAACCTCACGTGACCGGTCCAGGGAACAAATGTTTTGGCCTCCAAGGGTGGAGGCCATGGCTATTAACGCTATTAGGATGTCCGGGGAACAAATATTTTTTCATTTGCCGATCCTCACCTACCACTTTTTGGATATGTTCGAACACACCCTGGGCGATTCACTGCTGGGAAACAAGAAAAAGAACCCTTCAGAGGGAGCGACATGAACGGGTTCCTGAGGATTTCAATGAATATTCCGAGACGTTTTAGGAAGAAAACATGAGGCCTTAGCCTTAGATGGCCTCAGGTTTGCTTTCAAAAGGCACTAATCTTGTCACGTCCACCCAAAAAGCCGCAGAAAGCACCATCAACCAGTTCTAGCAGTCTTTAGTCAACAACTCCCAACAACTCCCAACACCATCCAACATCTATAATTCACCATCAACCACTACCCGCACGCAGGACGCCTCCTTTGGAGGTCCCAGGCCAGGCGGAGGCACGACGCCCCTGCGACGCATCTCCTGACTTCGCTTCAGCGCTAAGGTCCAAGTCCTGTAAGGGTTCCTCGGAAGGTCCGTTTTTAGGTGCTTTGCAGACCAGTTTTGAAGACATTTTGGATAGAGTGTTTTTCCATGCCTAAAGTCTCGGAGGTCGTTTGCGGTCCAGTCACTTCCGCCATACATGCGTGCAGTGCAAGCACGATACAATTCATATGCGCGTGCGAGAAAAACACAGTACGCGCAAATTCCTACCAAGATGCGTCATCGAAAATATTGTAGTTGCATGCTCGAAACGAACGTTAACATCCCAGCCCACCCTCCCCCCCATCCCCTCCCCACGTGCATACATCTGCATCCCAGAAGCAACATGACCATGTCATGGAAACAAAAAAACTGTCAAACGCGCGGCCACTTACAGGTGTTGCCCAAAAAAAAACATACAGTACACAAATTGCTGCAATTTGAGGTCAGGATAGAGGCTGCAAACCGACCTCATAGTACCACACGAATCAAATCGCCAAAGCTTCGCAAACTCCGGTTTTACACTCGACCAGTCCTTGTACCCTTAAGGAGGACCTTGTTGTGACGAACAGTCGCAGCTCCCAGGGTCTCCTCCATCGTTCGCGCCTGCTTCATCGTGTCCTGCCACAAAAAGAACAGAGCACTGATGCGCGCTGCGTTTAAAAGCCAAAGCCGAAAACCCACGGTCTCAAATTCAACTTGAAGCGCAGCGCTGCTCAAAATCCATTTCGCTCCTTGATGTCCGCAGGCACAGGATTGGCCCAAGCCTGGGCGGGAGATTGAAATGCAAACTCAAAGAGTTTGGTCACGCGTTCATGACGTGACCAAAAATCACCTAAGGCCATCCAAGTCATCTAAGACTGGGCAAGCTTTCCTAGGGATTCAATGGGTGGCGGATGGTTTGTGACGGTGGCTCATGTGCCAAGTTGCTGCATACTCTGCCTCCTTCGCCGCTTTCGACTCTTAGGCTGCCAAGGAGAGTGTCAACAAAGAATGTTGATATTTAGGGCCCGAATAGATTTTTCTGCCCTCACTAGTCACTAGGTCTCCTCTTTTTCCCGTTGATGATCGTTGATTTCGCTGCATTTTGAGCATGACTTGGTGGCATTGAAGGCGCTCCTTCTTGTCAAGGGCCAAATCGCGCACCACCACCATCAAGTTCTCGCCATACTTCGGTGCATCCTACCAGTACAAAAAACAGAAAACTGGGTTTGACGTCTGTGCAGTCACACCTACATGTTCCTTCGGAACAACTATCATCAAGCATCTTGGTCTTGTTTCGTGCCCATAATATATTCATGTCGTTTTCTCATGATATATGCCATGGAACAGACATGCTAAAAAGCGAACTTGTTCAGTTGTCTCTCTGTTGTGTTGTTGCTGTTGTTGTTGTTGTTGCTGCTGCTGCTGCTCGTGGCGGTGGTGTTGGTGGTGTTGTAAACGACCTGGGGATCATTCTACTACAACTACAACTACCACCACAACAACAACAACAACTACTACTACTACTGACAAACGACCCGTTGCTGACGACGACGACGACGACCACGACGACGACGATGACGACGACGACGACGACGACGACTACTACCGCCACCACCACGACGACTACGACTATAGGACTACGACTACGACTACTACTACTACTACTACCACTACCACTACCACTACTACTACTACTACTACTACCACTACTACCACTACTACCACTACTACCACTTCTACTACTACTACTACTACTACTACTACTACTACTACTACTACTACT